TTAATTTTGACCGTTTACATAATAATGGGTAAAGCTGCCGAAACGTAATTTGGAATTTAGTTTTTAGCGCTTCCATATGGTTCCGCCAAGTCATCCCTTTGCCCAGAATGACACCGAGATACTTAGCGGAGGATTCCCATGGTATACGAAGTCCATTCATTGAAATTTCAGACGGAACGCCGCGACGTCTTTTTGTACAGTAGATTGCCTGCGTTTTCGAATGGTTTATTTTAATTAGCCACCGATCCGCCCAATCTAATACTTGCTCCACCGCACTTTGCAGCCTGTCATGGACTAGGTCACCAGACCACGACTGAGCCACCCATGCAGTATCGTCAGCATAGAGATAGACTTCAGAGTTGCTGGGACTAGGGACGTCATGGATGTACAATGAGTAAAGGATAGGTCCAAGGACCGAACCCTGAGGGACGCCGGCTGTAATCAGCCGTGTTGTCGACAGGACGTTGTCAATTTTGATCCGAAATTTCCTACCTTCAAGGAAGGATTTCAGTAGTTTTAGAAGCCAAAAAGGGAAGCCCTTTTGGATTAGTTTATACAAGAGGCCCGCGTGCCACACCTTGTCAAATGCTTTTGAGACATCCAAAAGCAAGATGCCAGTACTTTCGTTAAGGGTGAATCCTCTGGTTACACGTTCCACTAGCCTAACCGCCTGTAGCTCCGTACTATGTTCAGACCGGAATCACATGGTGATCTGACGAGAAATTCTCAAGGTGACGTAGAATCACCTTTTCAGCGAGCTTAGACGCAGCTGACAGCAGGCTAATGGGACGATAATCCTGGGGAAATATCGAACCCACCTTCTTTGGAATCATTATAACTTCAGCGGTCTTCCACGCGGATGGGAAGTACTGGATCCTTAGCATGGCATTACCTATTGCCACGAGATAAGTTAAGGACTTCCGCGAAAGCAGCTTCAGCGCCTTATTAGTGATTTGATCCTCCCCAGGTGCTTTACGCACTTTAAGGTCTTTAATATGACCTTGAATCTCTGCTGGTGTGCAATGCGGGATCTCAGGAGATACCGCTGATGTGCTAAGCAAATCTTCGGTTGAAGAAGCTTCTGAAGAAGAATCTTCTGATGAAGAAAAATCACCAACGAATGCGCGACTGTCACTGACGCCGTGGGCCCTAAAATATCTCCTGACAGATCTTGCGATGTGTTGCTCCTCGTCGAGGTCATTATCAGGATCATAGTTGGGAGAGAACTGTCTTTCCATGGCATCGGCGAAAACCTCAACCTTCTCCTCTGTCCTGAAGACAATGCCTCCAGGACCGTGAATGTGTGGGATTTGTTCACGCTTTCCGTTTTTGAGCGACTTCGCCACCTTCCAGAGAGGAATGCTTGAGTCAAGCATCCCCGCCAGAAAGTCGTTCCATTGCTCATTGCGGAATTCATGAAGAGCATTTCTTACTTCGTGAACAAGATTCGTCGCTCTGCGAATGTCATCAGGATGACAAGACCTTGTGTCATATTTCGATGATACTCCAACCTTTTATACACTTGCGAAACATCACTAGGCTGTACCCTCTTTTCAAAAAAAAAAAATAAATAAAAAAAAAAAATACAATATGGCGGCCATAAGAAAAATGAAAGTTGGGGCGGGTTGCTGGAAAACAAAAGACATTGACAAATGCTATCTTACTTTTCTTAAAAAAAAAAAAAAAAATGTCCGAATAATGTCACATTTTGACAGCTGTCAAATTAACCGTCTTGGATTTACTGGCAAAGGCAAATTCCGCCATTTTCGGTTTTTCGCCGATATTTTCAACACCAATTGAGCGATCGTAAATCTGAAGCTGGCTATCGATAGCACTAAGTTTCCTCTAAAACTCCTAAAACCCTATTTAGCCTTAGCTGTAGGAATAACAGGATCCGAGATCCCTGTACGGACAAGCGAATTTGAGACACATTGTACGTATTAGGAGTCATCAAAAACTGTAATTATATTATGGTACAGCTTCGGCATACGTTTGTCTGCGGTTCAGAATGAATACATAGGTAAAATGAGTTAGGAATTAGTTGCATACGAATGCATGAAAATTATTGAATCGATCGGGGGTTGCATGGAAGAGCAACTATGTTGAATGCCGCCTCCCTCATCAATTGATTTTTTTGTTTTTGTTGTTGTTATTTTAACTAAAAAATAAAGACATGTTATTATTATCATCTACTTCACGACATTTCGTTCTTGTATTGCATCCGTAACAGTTATTTTCTTATCTACAGAATGTATGTGTTACCCGTAATCTGTATAATTCAGGTATTCTATACAATACCTAAGCAATACATAGAATACCTGAGTTGCCCAGGCAATGTATGAAATATTATGAATATTATTATCCATTACAAACTTTACCTAGGTAATGAATACAAATCTTAGGGATTGTGTAGAGTACCTGCTGTTCCACCGGTAATGTGTAAAATAAATAGATCTTGGTCTAAATTTAACCATGATAACCGGCATACCTAGAAAATGACGGGCAAATGAAACAAGTCATATCATTTAAAATCAACTTTATTAAAATTAACACTTAAAGTGCTCCTTAAAAATAAGCTTCATGAAAAGGGTACAAAAAAGCACCCGTAAAAATCACAGTAAAGTTAACGTGAAACTAAAAATTATTCTAGCTATAAGTAAAATTTTCTTTCCTTACAAGTACGTACGTAATACGTATAAAAAACTTTAGAAATAAAACAATTCTGTAAAAATATAGGCAGTGTAGGTCAAAATTTTATTAGAATAAAAGAAATATTCTTACATGTACTTAAGAAACAAAGCAATCCCCTGAAAATGAGTAGGTTTACTCCATAGTCAAAATTTTAATTAAGTTCATACGTGAAAGAATTATTTATTGAACTATTGTGGTATTTTGAAGTGCACAAAATCTTCCTTGTTCTCTTCTTTTACATACATTACCGGCTGCGCATTTGGTATTGTATAGAATACAAATAAAACAAATAATATTTTATGCATTACCTACCTGTTTTCGGTATTCTATACATTACATAGGTATTGTATAGAATACCAGATTATACAGAATCCCGGTAACATGTGCACCAACTTCATTCCACTCTTAATAACCAAATTCTCCCAATTATAAATATTCGAGGTCATTCTCCCTCAACACGTGATAAATTGACAAACAACAAATAACGCGCAACCAGGATTCTAAATCGAAAATTGTAGTACAAAAGTCAATGGTCCTGGAAATGCTCAGATTAAATTTCAATTGTAGGGAAGTAATAGAAGTGGGATGGTGGAGTTCTTTAGGAGATTTCTAGATTTCGTCATTTTTGCAGCTAACATTTTTTGTTGTGATTTTTTGATTCCATCAGACGTTTCAAAAGGACTCTACTGAGTTGCCATAGTGTTCATCCGGATGCATGAGGCATGATTTCACTGCAACGTGCACAAACAACAGCAGAGATACTAAATCCACCTGAAGTGAACTAATGTCATTGTTGCCACATTATTTGAAGAAGTAGCTCGTTCTAAAGTACCAAAAAATCAAACCATATGTCTTGCTAAAATATTTGACGGTTCTGTAATAGGCACGTATTGCCATCATAGTTATGGAAATATAACAGTTTAACAATACAATAGCTAAAACAAGATAATATTTATTTGTAGCTTCATATGGTGTATTAGGACACACACTGATGGCAAATCATATAGATAACAGAAACTGTAAATACCTGATGCATATCACAACTTATCTGTAGGTTATTTGTCAAATAAGAGGTACTGAATAAACAAGTGCAGTGACTAACAAAGTAATCGTTGAGACATATTGCTAATAGGTCTGAAATTGAACGAATATAGATGCACACTAATTTTATCAAACATTTTTAATAATGGCCTGTCGATTGGGTTATCAGTTTTCAATAGTACTAGAATCAGTTACATGAGTAGATTCATTTTAAACTCACTTCAAGATTATTTGTGCTTTAACCGAATCTATGGAAGTAAAGATCCAAGTAGGATAAACATGGTAGTTATTGGACACTTAAGATTTTTTTCAGACTCAAAACAATGGTAAAGGTTGAAAATTAACTTTATAAAAGTGTGCTTTGCGGTGAATGTAAATCTAATATTCTAACTTATACAAGGTGGCGATTGATTTTTCTTACAACAACAGATTTTGGAAAAATTGAAAAAACAATGCGGAGTCCCCCAAAATGGCAGTTGTTTTACAAAAAATCCAGTTACTGGACACATAACATTGAGTTATTGGATAAGGCAAACTGTTCCATATCAAAAATAGCTTTTTATTGAAGGTTTTAACACATCAGAACAGACCTACAGTTAAACTGAACATAAACTAGTACTTTCTGTCTGGTACCATTCGAATGGCTTGTTCACCTCCATCTGTTCACATTTACTGAATCGTTCTTCTTCGTCTTCACTTTCCTCTTTATAACAGTCATGTCGTCATCACCTAATTGCGGCATGTGCTTATGGTGACCTTTCGGAACACACTGACGATGCATCCCTCTGTTGCGCGTTCAGATGCTACATTTTTCTGCAGTAGCTGTCTTCTTTTTTGCTTCTTTAGCTGCAGCAATTTCCTCTCTTTTTCCCTTCCTTTCTTGTTTCTCGGCTTCCATTTGTGACTTTAGAGCGCGTTTCTTTTCAATGTCTTCTTGGTACCTTCTTGATGTCACAGCAAATGATGCGAGCTCTACTTGACGCTTATTTTTTCTTGCAGGCCTTTCTGGTACATGTAAGTAGCTGGAAATGCTCTTACTAGAAGGCAGTGTTGAAGGCGATTGAGTCACATTCATAATATTTCCTTCTTTTATAACGATGTTTTCTAATACTTGGATTGTTTTTGGAGCATTGTTTGTTTCCTGCAACGCAGTTCCTTCATCGGATGAAAAATCGGATTATCCAAAAAAACTCCAAATGTTGTAAAGTGTCCGAAATTCGTCACAGATAACTTCTGTGGGCTCTGCAGTTCCATCAAATGATTTGAATTTTGCAATCATGTGTTCTCCCATAAACGATTTTTGATCCATACTTGGTGATTGCATATCTACTAATGTATTTTGTGGAACGTTTTCCTTCCCCAGACACTATAGTCAACTGCATCTGGATTCAAGGGAAATAGGCCACATGCACGGAATTCATTGACCAGAGTTTCTGACTTCACGATATTTTTTTACAACATTTTCTAGTAGTGGAGCAAAACTGAGTTTGTTTTCTCGTTAAATTCCAGCTTTTTTCCATCCCATCTGAATAGGTCTAAATACCGCCACATCGCATGGTTTAAGGATCCTTGTAGCATTATGGTAGAAAGCTATCACTTCGATGTTGAGATCATTACAAAGTAGACTCAGTTCATATGTCAGGTGTGACTTATGACCATCTAAAAATAGCACAATCGGAAAAGTGGTGTCCTTCTCAACTAAAAATGGATGAAATATATTTTTTATGTCAGTCATCCAACCATTATCAGATCTTCCAACTCCCCAGTCCGGATTCACTGTTAAAGTTATTTTTTCTGGAATTCTCTTATAGGGGTAAATTATCATCGGCGGACAAGTGGTTCCAGAAGCCGAAAATGAAAACATAACTGTAATATTCTGTTTAGGAGATCCCTTATCGACAGTGTATATATTTTTCGCACCTGTTGCATCGTAAACTATACCCGTATTCGGGCAAACTTGAAAGCCCGTTTCGTCGCAATTGTAGACTCTCGAAGGATCTTCCATGCTAATATTCTTTGAATCCAGGTACTTTTTTATATCGGTGAACCAGTTCCGTATATCCTTTTCTGCCACACAAGCACTTGCCGCACTAACTGGTTCGCTTGTTCGTTGTCTAGTAGGTGGCTGTCTTTTTAGAAATGCTTTGAACCAACACTGTCCTATTGTTGTTGAATGGATTAGGGCGAGCATTCTCTATTAAAAATTTTTGGACGCTATGCATTATCTCATCCTTTTTTCTCGGAAATCCACGGGACGCAAGCTCTTTTATCCACTCAACAAGTTCATATTCTTCTTTTGTCGAAAGTACTGGAGATGGGCCGCATGTACTTTTATGACATGGATTTTTTATTTTGGATTCTAATGTGGATTTTGGAGTCCTATATCTATTAGCTGCAGCCCTGTAAGACATGTTACTATTTTTAACTTCCTGTATTGCTAATTCCATCAAATTTGCATCATATGAATGCTTTTTTGGCATGTTTGGTTAGCGGATAGACATAGCGACAGACTGACAGACATCAGTGACTTGGTTTTTCGTGATGTTCATATCATGTAACATTCAAAAAACATAATATCTCACTTTCAAGCTTTCTGCGATTACAATGCTTCCTCATCAGTTGACAAGAATGTGTCTATTCGATGTGTCGCCTCTTCAAAACGATTTTTGAAAATGAACAGAAGTCTTTGAAACATGAGAAAAATATTTTTGAGCGATTTTTAGGTCCGCGCTAGCTTTGTTGACTTCGTACCTTCGTCGTTTTTGATACCTTTTTTTAAACCGAAGCAGCCGCGCAGGGAGAAGCCTAAGTGCCGGAGTATCGCGGCTGCTATGAGAATCGCAAAGAATCTTTGTTAGTCCGATTGTTGAATTGCCCAAAGTTGATATAACTGGCAAAAGCCTGCTCTTGTAGACTGTTCGATATCCTAGGGCCAAAGGACTACTTCTAAATAAATGGCCTAGGTTTTTCTAGCTACTGCCGCTATTGACGAGGTAAGTTCTTGCTAGATCAAGTCCTCGGCGATTTGGACTCCGACCAGCCGAAATGAACGGTTCTTTGACAAAACTCGGCCATCCATCGAAACCGTATGGCAGGAATCAAGTCCGAACCAGAAGCTTTGTTGATGTCGAACGGTCTTATACCTGAATGTGACTTCCGCATCATAGTGTAGTTGAATCGATGGCACTCGGGCCTTGAGGAGACGCCCATGATGGAGTCGGCAGTGTAGCCGACCAAGTTATCAATTTATAAATTCGTTGAAATAATTCGTCATGCCGCCTACCCTTGTAACGACTCGTCGCATCCATAAAATAGAAATAAACATAAAAACTAAGCGCAGAACAAACACTTGCATCTGCAAACCACCCATTGAACGCCAAAGGAAACCAAATTCATATTTCGAAGAAAATAGATAATAGAACCGGATGCTATAAAGTTGTACTTTTCAAATATGCCGGGACAAAAACATGGTTTGGAGATCTATTCTGTAATAACATTTGGTTGCTATAACTATGAAGTTACAACCAAAGGAGTGCTGAGAAATTTGAATCTCAACAATTTGGTTAGCAGATGTAAGAAACTACCCCGAGCGCTGAACGGTCACGCGTCAGAGGCGTATCATGGGATATCTAAGACTTCCGAAGGCTAGCATATTACTAAAAATTGTCATAATTGTGGGAAAATATGAAGAAGAGGAGATAAACAGCTAGGTTTTTAGCAGAATTTTCCCCTAGATGATAGGAGCAGGTGCGCCAGGCTGGATACGATTCTACCTTCTGTCAACGTACGCGTTGGCAGATGCGGTTTGGAAACTACCATTAGAGAGGGGCAGGTGAAACCAACGAAAGACTGCGTAGTTCCAGCGAAGTTAACTTTGCTAAAATACATCAAAAATTCCAGAAGAGAGTCACCGTTAGTTTTAAATAAATGCTATGTATAATTTTGTAATTATTTAAGAGGACATCTCGAATTGTGGCCTCAGCATTACAGGAATTCCCAATCCATTGAAATTATTGAAAACTGCAGGGTTTGCCCCAAAGCAATTAAAGCCACGACACGCCACTGAAGGGGGCGTGTTGCGTAAACACAAGGGAAGACTGTACGCTGACGACACTCCTTGAGGTGGGAGAAGGGAACGTAATTAACCAATAGAGTTTAAGGCCATTTTGAGTTCAAAAATTAAGTCTAACAATCATTGACCAAGTTAGTCTCCATCGTCAGAGAATCAGACGACCATCGCAGGGGTTGTAAACTGATCGACCAATGAGGAGACAAGGGTTGAACTCACTAAGAACAGTAACCAGCCTTCTGATAGAGGGGAAAATCCGCAACTGACCTCCGATAATTTTGAAACTAAAAACTTCAGTTCTACTCTTATGTTTGATTTGTACGGTTAAAAAGTTGCTTCGATTTTCCCTCAGTTAGTGGCTGTTAATAAGTGTTGCATGGGTAGAATTTTGTGTTAAGTTGTGTTCTCATCAGAAAGCACTTCCAGTTACTTAAAAGGGGGCTTTTCCATTCTTTATTAGCCCTTCTGGCTAATGCTAAAATAACACCGAGTCAACTAAAGATTCTGTGCATTAGCTTGATTAATTAGCATTTTAAAGTTGAGACTCTTGAGTTTAATTTTGCTATTAGGTTCAAGTTTAAATTTATTGTAAATTAGTGATCACCGTTCTTTTTAACGTAGTCGTAATTCACTCCTCCAGTGATCTTTTCCCAGCCTATTAGTTTTACGAAGTTAACTGTTCTTTGTCATTGCTACTTCACCCTTCACGAGTGTATAGATATTTTGTGTCTGTAATTCAATTATTAATAAAAATGCGTCTCCTTTAACTTAAGTTCCATTAATTTCATTGACTGAAGCTAACTTAGTTCGAGGATTCCGAAAGTATTCATTCGGGCGTTTACCACATTCTCTGATTACTTGGAGAACAGAGGAAGCATCATTCCGCGTAAAGTGAGTGTTTCAATGAGTCAAGATTATATTACTTTATGTCAGGTTCTACGCGAGTCTACCTCCTATAGGAAGACAAGTAAAAGGTAACAGAATTGAAATTCGAGGGGTCTCGGACCAGTCCAGAAATTGAAGTATTGGACTGGAGATCCGAACTATATGCTCAAGGCACGGCATTGAGAGGTCCGGGAGTCTCGGACGAAGTTCCTGTTACAGCAGCAAAGATCTTGGCAAGCACTAAATCCAATTTGGGATATATAGTGACGCAACTGATAAGTTTCGATTGAAACTACCGCACTATTTTTACAACGTGCAATAACCACACAAAATTCAATGCATATCTCTTTATTAAGAAAAGAACAACTTTTTCGTTCATAAGAAAATGAACCTAGTTGGGTGCGAAAACTTGAATCTTATATTTTAATCCTTTGGAAAACTTGGATACAACAGTGACGTGTACATATTGATCCTTCACCCCTCCTCCTGTTATAGAGATTCTTCCTCCGGATCCATCCCCGGACAAATCAGTTATCTGAAATTTTCATATTGTTAGGACTCCACCGGTAGAAGTATTCAAATCAAGATCTGTACCTCGGTGCCAGAATAGGTTAAGTCCAAGTTTTGGTATTTTCAATTTAATATGCTAAGCATCACATGTATGCGCACACTGCTATTTTCATATTTGACATATCTTTGTAAGCAAAGAACTTAGCTGGTTTTAAATCAGGCAGCCCATGCGCCTCATGCTGCTACGTAACTGAGTCAAAGTTTGGCGCGCATAATATTTTCAGTGCATTAGATTGTGCAGATGTGCAAGTTGAGTTTGTGATAATCTGCCTTACATAGTTATTTATATACAGGGTCTCGCGAAAAAAGTGTGCAATATTCTATCAACGATTTCTAGAGCTTAAACTAGGAAGAATAGTTTATATAGACATAGGTCGACAAACGTCCCCTAAGGGCGCTACGGTCTTTTAAAGGGGCTCCCCTGAAGATGGTTTTTCCTGAATATTTCCGAAACGTGTTGAGATAAAGACATAAAATTTGGCATTCTAGCCTAATTTTGTATGCTGCATTTAAAAATATAAACAATTTTAGACAGTTTTGTTTGGAAGCGTATGTAACAGGGATGGACTCAGGTTGTTTTAGCCCCAAAATTTTTGTGTGATTCTATTTTAGAAATTCAATTTTAGAATTTGAAAATTTAGGGTTTTCTACATAAAAAAGGTACTCTTATTGAATATCGATAAATTGTGCCATTTTTGAATAAAATCAAACTAAAAAAATTGTCACATGATAGGAAATGTACTGCGAATTTAAATGAATTGTTGGTTATACATAGTTAGCCATGACTGCAAACAAAAATTGTTTTGATTTGTTATGACTTATTTTGACGTTAAGCTGACATTGTTAGCAGTGTAAAATTACTAGATTTAAATCAAAATTTTTATTAAATCGATTTAAAATGCCAAGATTTACAGACAGAGGACTGACTGACATGCATTTTGTGTACGGGTTTTGCAATAACAGTTCATTGGCAACCGTAAGAGAATATCAAAGAAGATTTCCCAATCGCATCGTACCTGGACGTGATATTCACCAGAATTTGTCAAACCATGGAAGTTTGCAGCGCATGCAAGGCTCAGGAAGGCCACTGGGAAATCATCGTATGGATATTGCTTTAAATATGTTTAAAAATAATCGGCAAATAAGCGTATGAAATGTTTCAGAAATTATGGATATACCTCGACCAATCATTAAGAAAAATTTATGAATACCTATTTGATGGTTATCCAAAAAATAATATTAGATAGGAAGAATGACGAGAATGCAAGGATTACATCCTTGTCATTTTAAACGGGTGCAGCATGTAACGGAGGCAGATTTTTTACCACGAATCGAGTTTTGCCAGTGGATATTAGCAAATGAAAACACTATTCCTGGAATATTATGGTCGGATGAGTCAATATTTACTAGGAATTGAGCTTTTAATTTCCATAACATGCATCACTGGTCAGATGAAATTCCAAAAGTTGTTCGCCGTACAAATTTGCAACATAGATTTTCATTGAACTTATGGGCAGGAGGTCCTATAGCGTGGCCGCCACGTTCACCTGACCTAAATCCATTGGATTTCTATTTTTGGGGGTCATTAAAAGACCTAGTTTACTCGACTGAAGTAAATACTCAAGAAGATTTACTTCAAAGAATCCATCAGGCTGCAAATGAAATAAGAAGAAAAAGGTTTACCACTTTTCGGGCTACGCAATCATTAATTCATCGAGCGAGACTCTGTATCCAACAAAATGGGAATTTATATGAACACTTATTGTAAAGCTAGTTTTACGTATATCCAGCTATCTGTCTTCTTTTTTAAACAAATTTCAATTTCGTTCGTAGAAAAAATTTATTTCTTTTTTTTGCCTAAATGTTAGCTATGTTGCAATAGAAATAATATGTATTCATGTAATATTTACCAATTATTAAATTAGTTTTTTCGTTGCCATGGCTAATTATTCAACAATTAATTTAAATTCGCAGTACATTTCCTATCATGTGACAAATTCTTTAGTTTGATTTTATTCAAAAATGGCACAATTTATCGATATTCAATAAGAGTACATTTTTTATGTAGAAAACCCTATATTTTCAAATACTAAAATTGAATTTCAAAAATAGAATCACCCAAAAATTTTGGGGTTAAAATAACCTGAGTCCGTCCCTGTTACATACGCTTCCAATCAAAACTGTCTAAAAGTGTTAATATTTTTAAATCCAGCATAAAAAACTAGGCTAGAATACCAAATTTTATGTCTTTATCTCAACACGTTTCGGAAATATTAAGGAAAAATCATCTTCAAGGGAGCCCCTTTAAAAGACCGTAGCGCTCTTAGGGGACGTTTGTCGACCTATGTTTATATTAACTTTTCTTCCTATTTTAAGCTCTAGAAACCGCTGGTATAATATTGCACACTTTGTTCTTTCGGGACACCCTGTATACATAAAATACAATATCTACTGTAGATATAAATACAGAATAAATAATATCGTAGTGAGAACCGTGTGTGATATTTAGCAGTAGCATAATGTCTTACTGAGCTAAAGGAATGGTATATCTAGCTAAGAGCCTATCGGTGAACCTCAACTGTCGTTTTGTCATAAGACGAAGGTGTAATATACAGGGTGTTCATTTGGAAAACTCCCACCACGGATTTGTTATTAAACGAAAAAACGCCGAAACACATCAAAAAAGTTTTCAAGGTTGACAACTTTTTAACCAAAAACAACTTCACCCCCTTGCACCCTTTGCCCTCCAGGGTCATTCCCTTAAAAATTTTAAATGACAAGAGATGTCGAATAATAGCTGGTTCGGAAGGTCTTTCGAGGTTCATTATTCCGATGTTTGTTTTCTTAAAATCGGTCCAAATGTTTTTAAGACTGCTTCACCCCCTTTCACCCTCGGCCCACAGGGTCATTCCTTTAAAAAGTTTTAAAGGACAAGGGGTATCAAGTAATAACGCGTTTGAACGGTCTTTCGAAGTTTTGTCGTTTAATTTTTCAACAGCAGTCGATTCGTTTTCGAGAAAATTAGATAAACCTTATTTATCTTATTTTGTTCAGATAGAAAACAAAAACACACGAAAATATAACTTTTTCATTAAGAGTTCCTGTTATTGGCCAAACAATGATGTAGGTGATGTTCAAATTCCTGAAGGACATTTTCAAAAACATGTGGGATATCATGGCAGCTTGCGATGACGCGTTGACGAAGTTCATAAAATCTTTCAGGTTGGAGAGTAAACACAATAGATTTCAAATGGCCCCATGGAAAAAAGCCCAGCAGATCTAGCAGGCCATTCTATAGGCCTTCTTCGCACTATCCATTTATCTGGAAACTCGTCGTCTAGCCATTGTCGAACCGTAAGAACATAGCGAGGAGGAGCGCCGTCTTGCTGGACATAAAACGCTTAGACCCGTCGATTTAGTTTTCGAGGCGGACACAAGTTTGGCAAAAAATCACGTTGGCACGTGCAGCCCCCTAAGCGAGGGTGACACCACCCCCAAAATCTTAAATGGAAAGGTGGGTCGAGTGATACATTATTTTAAAGGTCTTTCAATTCCCTTTATAATGATATAAAGTTAATGTACTTCAGTTCAGTAGTTTTGAAGATTTATTTATTTCAAGCTTAAATAAAACTAATATATCATAATTAGTGGAGATCAATACATTTTGCAGCAAATCAATTTAAAAATGAAGAATGAACTGACCCGTTAGGCAAGTAAATGTTGAAAATAGCCACCATGACTCTCCATGCAATAATAAAGATTTTGCTCAAAACGTTGCGGCACATTTCGCTATATTTGAGGAGTAATTTGAAGGCACTCGTTCACAATTCTTTGTCGCAGGTCTTCTAATGATGTTAGCTGAGTAGCATAGATTTTGCATTTTAAATGACCCCACATCAAGAAATCCAAAGGTAATAAATCTGGCGATCTGGGGGGCCATTCAATGGCACCTCTTCTACCAATCCATCGATCTGGAAACGTCTGATCTAAATATTGTCGAACACGTAATGCGTAATGTGGTAGGGCACCATCCTGTTGGAACATCAACCTATTCGCAATGTATCGCCGATCATTCTGATGTTCAATTATGGCTGTTAATGCAGGATCTATGGAATCTTCCCGTAATTCCAAATACATTTCAACGGTCAAATTTCCAGGTAAGAAAGAAGGACCAACTAAATGATCGCCATAAATACCAGCCCAAACATTTAATTTTTGTGGCTGCTGTGTATGAACCTCATGATAAATTCTGGGATTAGAATCGGACCAATATCGGCAGTTATGACGATTTTTACTACGCCATTTAAGAAAAACTAAAATTCGTCGGATAAGCAAGTGTTGAATAGAAAATGTTCATCGTTTATAATTTATATATATATATATCTTCACAAAATTGTAATCGCCGATCAAAATCGTCTTCATCAAGTCCTTGTACCAGGTGAATTTTATACGGATGAAAACTATGGGCCTTTAGAATCCGTTTGACAGTACGTCGACTCACACCACAAACAGTCTCCAATTTGCGGGTCCTTAACGTAGGATCCACATAAACTTGCCCTGAAACCCCACTTCTATTGCTTCGTTCCGTATGGGATTTTCAATGTTGCGTTTTTTATTGGCGACTGACCCAGTTTCTCGAAATTTAGCTACAAGTTCTTGAACATATTTTCGATGCACGTTACTGTTCGCATGTCGCTCATTAAATATTTCTGCTGTTCCATTAGCGCACTGATTATTTCTGAAAAATATTTCGATTATTTCAACTCTTTCTGCTGTGGAATATACCATGGTTAATTTATGTAATAAAGCCTTACAAGTTATTTTAGCAACAAAGTTTGGTCAAATCAACAGCAAACTATGTACTAAATTCTTATTCAAAATAAGTACGAGATATTTCCTTATCTTCCTTCAAGAAATACCTTTTTTGCCACAAAAAACGCTCCATTAGCTATTTTCAACAACAAAATGATACACAAACCATGGGCGTAGTGAAGAAAATCATTTTCTTATTAAGTAAATTCTTTCAGTCAAATTTCTTCTGAAAGTAGTACAAACAAATCTGATGTACCTATTAAAGTCTACTTTAAGCTTTAAATAAAAAGTGATATTTTCGTGTGTTCTTGTTTTCTAACTGGACAAATTCAGATAAATAATAATTTGTTTAATTTTCTCGAAAACGAATCGACTGCTTTTTAAAAATTAATCGACAAAATAAAGGACTTCGAAAGACCTTTCAAACAAGTTATCACTTGATACCCCTTGACCTTTAAAATTTTTAAGGGAATGACCTTGGGGGTCGAGGGCGAAAGGGGGTGAAGTAGTTTTAGGTTCAAAAGTTGTCCCCCTTGACAGATCCTTTGACATGTCCCGATGTTTTTGTTTTAATCAGCGGTTTTCGATAAATCCGTCTTAGGAGGTTTTCAAATGAATACAGTATATATTACAAAACGACAGTTGAGGTTCTCCCATTCTCCGTTTTCACATGAACATGTATATTCTGATGTGGTATCAAAGCAAAGTGTGCCAGATTTTTCTTTTTGCTTCAGTATATTCAAGGAAAAAAAACGTTTTATATAAAAACCTATTCTACAACTCAGGGAGGTCCTAGGATTCTCGGCTGGTACCTATTGCGGTTGTTGGTAACATTGAGATCGCAACCAGATACTATTGTCGCATATGCCTAGAAGCTGTGGTACCAGGGGTGGCTGGCCCTTAAGTTCTGCAAAGCTGCAGAACTGCCAAAAATTTCGTCTTAACAGAAAAAAACAGTAGTAATTTGATCATTATTTATTTTCCATGTTATCAAACAAATAGAAACAATACCGGCAATGCTGCCCCCGCAAGACACGGCGTCGAGTCTATTTTGTACTGAGAAAGCATTATAATCGACCAATTGTGTACTTGTCATTTTTGTCGCGACCGCAGCGTAACATCATTAATGGGCCACTTGAAATGGGTCTGTGCACTACTTTGACACAAGCTGCACGCACTTGCTTTTGTCTCTCTCTACAAAATCAAATGGGCGATTTGAGCATAACCATGTGCTGCAATTCATACAGATCCGTACAGATCTAATGCGAAGCACGATATCTGATTGGTCGGTCGGTGCTCGGTCCTGGGCATTGGCATATTGTCGCGTGATGTAGCTTAAAATTTGAATGAGAACAATTTGTTTATTTAGGTATTTTGGGTCTTGCGTTGAGTCACTAGTGACTCACTGACTGACTGTGGCTCTGTAGAAGGGTAGTGCAAGACAATGGATGTGGTTTACAGACTTATCAGCGTGAAACGATTCTGGGAATACACATTTGGAGAAAAAATTGAGCTGAGGGTGTTAGGTCGACCGGACATATTTATAGAAACACAGGGCGTTAGTCGGTGCAAGGGCCATACGCGGCATTTCAGCAAGGAGATTCACACCAGAAATGACTGGATTTGTGGGTGCAACAGGAAGAATGTCCTTTTCTGCTTTCCTTGCATACTTTTCGGCGGTGGCAAAGCTTGGACGGAGGTAGGTGTTGCAGATTTAGTGCACCTGAGTGAAAAAATTAAGAAGCATGAAAACTCTAATACACATCTTCATAATTTGATGGAATTGGCTTTATTGGGGACTGTTAACATCAGAGCTCTATTAGATTTAGCATATTGGAGAAATATACAACAGCATAATGATACCGTTACAAAAAACAGCTACTTTCTATCAAAAATAATTGATTGCATAAAATTTTGCGAGGCATTTGAATTGGCGCTACGGGGCCAAGACGAAACCGAGAGCTCCCCAAACCCGGGAATATTTCGTGGACTAATTAATTTTTCTGCTGAGCTTGATACAACCTTAAGCGAACACATAAAAGATGCTTCAATATTTAAAGGAACTTTGAAAGGAATACAAAACGATCTCCTATGTCAACAGCAGCGGCTGAGCGAAATTTCTTAACATTGAAAAGAATCAAGACCTTTCTTCGAAAGCGTTGTCGATGCTGTCCATTGAAAACGAATTTATTTCGACCATGGAAAATTTCAACGGGAAGGTGGTCGACGAATTTTCTGCCAAGAAGGAGCGCAGGATCGAACTGACATATAAAAAATAGGTAAGCTCGGATTTGCAAAACACCTGTTGTATTTTGCCACGAGCCGCCACTGTGTCATACTAAATAAAGAACGTCTGACACCTTTCGGCAATATTAATTCCCAAATATGGTATTCTTAAAGCCGAGTAACTTAAAAACTTGAATAGAGTTCAGCCTAGTACATCATTTTGAGTTTCTTAAGTATAACGCGTATGATTTGTTATTCTCCTGTCCTCGACGAATCTGTATGATTACGAAGCGTCAAGCGCGGCTGCTTTAAAGAGGAACCGCCACATCGTTTACGAAGCAACTTGAATACGTACCAAAATACAACTGATGGGCGTTGGGAATAGTCCTGTTTCAGGAAGTGCAATTTCTTTAGTTAGTGTTCCAAGAAACTTTCCTGCTTCATCTACAAGTCTTTCAGCTACCAGGTTTGCACTGAAAATATATTTTTCCTCTGTATAAGGATCATTGATACCAACATGTAATTCGAACATGTAGTATAAGTTCTTTTGAAATAAAAACAAAAAGGTACTAGTTATTTACAGGACTAGGATTCACTAACATGATCATGTAATTAACACTGCTCTATAGTCAAACACTACGAGGGCACGCAGAAACAGCTGGTAAGTGAAGTATGGCGGAACAAAGAATCTGAAGACCGACATGCGGGAACAAGGACTTTATGGATTCCATACTGGAAATAACATTCAGCTCATTTTTCTTTTTGACATCAACATTCGGAACAAACGTGTCCTTAGTTGCAATGTCTGATTATAGCTAGATCTAAAGGTAGTACCGCAGGACATTTCCTTATCACCGCGTAGTACAGGGTGCGGCAGAGAGGATGGACGGTTTTAAAAAAATCATAAAATAGTTAACTTTTACTCGAAAACAAATTTATTGACGGAATCAGGTTCACAAGGAAATGGCGTTTGAGACAGTCAAGTGTGGAAAATCACATCAGGCATGTGGTGGCCGAAATCGTTGATGCAGTGATGGAAGCGTTCTTGGAAGTTCGCGTAGACTCTCTCCAACATCGCTCTCTCAACTTGGGCGACTTCCACGCGAATTTCGCCCTTCAGTTCGTCCAGAGTTCGGGGCTTGTTCGCGTATACTCTAGCCTTGAGGTGTCAATATAAGAAAAAATCACATATGTATAAATCTGGGGACCGAGGAGGCCAATGAACATCGCCAAACCTGGAAATAAGGCGACCAGGGAAGAGTCCATGGATGCACGGGCTGTGTGGGCGGTCGCCCCATCCTGCTGGAACCACACACGTCGGATTGGAACACGTCGCCGTCGTAATTCAGAGAGTTGTGTACTTTATTTTGAAGGTTCATTTATACCATTTATGTATGAAAAATAATATCGCTCAAATGTTCACCACGACTGGATTTACAGACGTCCACGCGATGGTCGAACCGTTACTTTTGGGTTGTGCTGCGGTCTTTCGTGTAACTGTTGCGGATTTTCATTAGCCCAATAACGACAATTCTGCTGGTTAACCATGCTGTTTAGGTGAAAGTGGGCTTCGTCACTCTTAAACAAAATGAGGTTCTCATTTTGATCGATCAGTGCTTCCATCGCACGTGCGAAGTTCATTCGTTGTGCATAATCTCCGGGCTGTAACTGATGCACAATGGCCAATTTGTAGGGGTGAAAGCGGAGATCCTTGTGCAAAATTCGTCTTACCGAAGGATCACTAAGGCGAAGTGCAGCATCGGATTGCGAAGAAAGACCTGTCGAACATTTTCGGGAGTTCGAACTATTCGCGGCGCTCCTCTTGGTCTTCGGTTGATCAGCTCACCACGCCTGCGAAGTGATTCAACCCAACAAAGGTTGGTGTTTCGAGAGGAAACAGCTCTATTCCGATGAATGTTGAAGTGGCGACGAAACTCACGCTGTACGACGATGACTGACTCATTATTTCGGACGAAACAATCATGGGCGAAAACGCGGTGGTCCACCGTCCAAGGCTCCATAACGACAACTGGTAAAATAATGCTAGCATCTCACGAGTCAAACGGCACCCTCCCCACCTCTCTCGTAGACGACGGCGGAGATTACTACCCATCCCAAAAACGTCCGTTCTCTCTGCCGCACCCTGTATAAAAATCATGGTACAAGCAGAAACAATGGTCCCGTGTTTCTGGTTTTTCTCATAAGGAAATGTGAAATAAGTTGTTTCAAATAATGAATGGAAAGCGGTTTCGTTTGAAAAATAGTGATCACAGTTTTGCATTAGTTATATCCTACCTTAGAGCATTAGCTGGATCAGGGCAGCTCACGAAGCTACTTGTCACTATATTTGCGGCCTGACTTTGACTGAAAAGCGCATAAAAAACTGGCAGAATCCAGATGAATGTTGCCATTTTAAAATGTTGCATGCAAACTGGAAAATTGTGATGATATTTTTTTCATGGCGTGATGCTTTGTAGAGTAGAATAGGGATTATTTTTTATTCAAAGCACACAAAATATAAAAAGATACCGGCTGAAAGATACCGTCACATTATTAGACTGTAAATAATATACTTTTGCATGATATATACTAAGAGACAAAAAAAAGTAATCACCTACGTATGTTTATTAGAATTCAAGAATGTTTTACATATCGATTTATCTTGCCAGGAACAACAAGAATAAATGGTCAGGTTTTTGTGGTGGCTGCATGTATTGATTGGTGATAAAGAACCATTCAGTGTTCGTACATTTGCGGTGTCAGTAATGTGAAATTTCGTGCAGCTTATTAAAAAGCCTTTTTGCGATTGCTCAAAATGCTAAGTGACTTTGAGAGGGATCGAACTGCAGGGTCGCGTGAAGTCGGTCTATCGACAAGAAAAGTTTCCAGAAGGACCAACAAGTCCTTACGCAGTATACTGACGTCAGAACGAGCGTAAACTCAGGAGGACAGCGAGCGAAGGGCTTCCCAGAGGGACCACAGAGCGACGGTTAAGACTTCTGGATCCGAGAGACAGATTCAGAAGTACTCGAGCCATCGCTAATTAGTGGCTTGAAGAGCATGGAACTAAGTTTCCTCTAAAATTTTCCCCATTTAGCCTAGAGAAGCGAATCTGGGACACACTGTATGTGTTAAAAGTCATCAAAAGCTGTTATTATATCATGGGACAGCTTCAGGATACGTTTTTCTGCAATTCAGAATATATACGAGTACATAGGTAAAATGAGCTTGGAATTAGATGCATACGAATGCATGAAAAATATTGAATCGATCTACTTGACGACATTTCATTCTTGTATTGCACCCGTAACAGTTATTTTCTTATTTACGGAAATATGTATGCAGAAACTTCTTTCCACTCTTAATACCCAAAGTCTCCCATTTATAAATGTTCTAGCTCATTCTCCCTCACCACGTGACAAATTAACAAACAACAAATAACGCGCAACCAGGATTCTGGGGGGTGTTAGATTTCGAGATTTCGTCACTTTTTGTAGCTTATATTTTTTGTTGCGATTTTTTGATTTTTTGTAAAAGGACTCTAATGAGTTTTCACAAAAATCGTGGCAAAGATACTAAATCCACCTGAAGTAAACTAATCTCATCGTTGCCACAGTATTTGAAAAAGTAGCTCGTTCTAAAGTATCAAAAAATCAAACCATATGTCTTGCTAAAATATTTGACGGTTCTGAAATAGACACGTATTGCCATAATAGTTATGGAAATATAACAGTTTAACAAAACAATAGCTTAACCAAGATAATATTTATTTGTAGCGTGATACGGTTTATTAGGATACACACTGATGGCACGTCATATAGATAATTTGTAGCAAATTAGTGAAATTGCAAATACCTGATGGATATCACAACTTATCTGTAGGTTATTTGTCAAATAAGAGGTACTGAATAAAAAAGTGTAGTGACTAACAAAGTAATCGTTGAAACATATTGACTGAAATTGAACGAATATAGATGCACAGTAATTTTATCAAACATTTTTAATAATGGCTTGTCGTTTGGGTTATCAGTTTTCAATAGTACTAGAATCAGTTGCATGAGTAGACTGATTTTAGACTCACTTCAACATTATTTGGGCTTCAACCGAATCTATGGAAGTAAAGTATGTAATAGTATCACGCAGATTTATTTTAGTATACGCCGACAGAGTAGGCCTTCTGAATCAATTTGACAGAGGTGATGCGCCTATAAAAAATACGGTCGTAATATTTTTAAATATAACTTCATTAAGATCAAAAGAAAAACTAGAGGAATAACAGCAATATCCTGTTTGCACCTATAGCCATATCATACTCGATATGTATCTTCATTTCAAGTATTTTCTTCTATATCTCTTACCGTTCAATATGCCCAATGACATCAGATTAGCAAATTTCCCCGAAAGCATTGTACAGTCTGGTTTTATTGGTGCAATTGGTGCATGTGGTTCAAGGGGGTATTTAAAACATAGACGCATAAAATGGGTTCCCCAATTTTTGTGGAAAAACTCTTTATTTGACAACAAAGAATGAGAAAACGTGTTTTTTGTGATTGAATTGAAAGTATTGACAGGAACGAAAAGACTTTCCATATAAGATTCCTAGGTATTTATACTAATAGCAAAAATGTTATGGCCGAAAAACGAGACAAAATGCAGGAACTTGGAACTTGGCAATGCGACGGTAATTACTTGAAATTCTTCAAATCCGTATGATTCCTACGTCTAAATAAAAACAACAAAATTGGAGTATTTTGGTCAAGTAGTTTTTTTACAAATTTTAATTGTTTATAACAAAACAGCTGTTTTCCGGCCATCACACCTAGTTTATTGAGCAATATACAGCGTTCGGTCAAAGAACATTTAATAGCATAATGCTCGTGTGTTTACCTTGCCGATATGAATCATAAATTATTCCGAAAGATAAATGTTATTTTTATGCTAAAAACAAAGGTTACGTTTTTTCGTCTAAGCAAATTCAAACATTTCGTATTTGTGCGTAATTGAACAAAGCGGATGTCTCTATCATCCTTTGTTGCGAATTACTCACAAATACGAGATGTTTTTGTTTAGAAGAAAAAACGTTTTGGGATAAACAATTAGACATTTTCATAAACTACTTGACCATTCTACTCCAATTATGTTGTGGTTATTTAGAAGTATGAGTCCTACGAATCTCAAATATCTGCGACAGACCATCGTCGTATTACCAACAAATGCCAAAACCTTCAGTTTGCCTCGGTTTTCGGCCGTTTCTCATAAATACCAAAAAATCTTATATAAAGAGTTTTTTCGTTTCTGCCAACACTTTCGATTAAATCCCAAAAATCAGGTTTTCTCATTCTTTGTTGTCGAATAGGAAGTTTTCTCACAGAAATTGGTGTACCCATTTTATGCATCCATGTTGGACAACTTGCAGCAATAAAACCAGACTTTACAATTATTTCGCAAACTAGGGATATTTTCGTCTAATATGATTAGACTACAAAGACCAGAGAACAAAGTATTTTCCTTCTGATTTTGACAATCTTCAGACATAACTGTATATCCAAAAATCCATGAATGTTGTCAGTTTGACTATATTTTATGAATTAGATAAGTCAATTTTCTAATATTACCAGACGTTGTCCTGTCAGCATCTTGTAAAAATATCCGTTAGCCTTCGGAATAAAGTTGGATGTCATATTTCTGCCTACCGAACGTCTAATTGCAGCGATGAGACTCATAGAATTGCCTAAAATTATTACAAGACTAATAAATATAGTAAGGAATTCCCATCTTGCCCCTTTGGTCACACTTAGCATTATCACACCTTTTATAATAGTTTAAATATACAAGATGGTTTAACAGACAGTGGCACTACTTCGAGAATAAAAAGTACCTGCAAAGATGTCTTCTTGGTTGTTACTGAGTATTGTAAGTTCTCCTCCACTTGACGTATTAATAAAGGATAGGACACGAAAGTTTTCCAAATAACATTACGCTGATGTAGCAATAATTTTATCATTGTACTTTATCGGATTTTCAATTTTATTAAAGTTTTCTTACAAGGAATCCCAAAAGTTGTACTACAAAAATTCCATCCACTTTTTAAGGGCCATTGTGGGTCTCCTGACATATGAGGCTGTTCGGTCTGGCAGAAGATACCACATGCCGCTTCTGCAGAGAGCATGAGGAAACCCCAGTGCATCTCCTGTATTCCTGCGGAGGCCTTGCAAGGCTACGGTTTCAGATAGTAGGAATCACAAATCCAACAGCCGAGAGCTACATGCAAGGCTCTGTGTCAAGGCTATGGAGTCTGAGTAAAGGATCAACACTGGACATAGTGCTTTAGAAAGTGTATAATAAGGGAGTCACAATAGATCCATTTGGGTCGCAGTGACGCTAAGGGTAGCAGGCCAACTCCTTCCTTGTGTAATATGTAATCTTTAGTTACTGGTTACATTTCGCATGTACAGATTTTTAAATCAATTCGTTTATCCACTCCAGTAATAAACATATTTTTCTCGACGTGTAACATTTTCGTGCGCATTTTCTACCGTAGAAGGAATACCACTGGTGCTTAATCGCCATGCGTATAATCGATTTTTATGAACCTCTACAAGATTTGATAACATTGCTGCCAAATCTTGTAAAGTCAATTGTTAAAATAAGGGAGTAGAATAACTGATAGGAAGTTAGCCTTTTGGGAAACTGTCTTCATTCACACTGATAGAAGTGTCGCTCCCAGGGTCACTAGCACGAGAAACAGAGTGGAAGTCGCGCTATACTGCACGAGTTTAATATCTGAAGATATCTTGGCTTTGTGATGAGACGTTTAACGATATGATAACCAAAGAATATAGTAATGATTTTGCCGAAAATGGATGTATTTGGAAACTTATTTGATAATCCTCTAAGCAAGCGTCTAGCGCTGTCAGAAAGGCATTTTCTATCGGTTATTATGTTTCCTTGTTTTCAAGAATTGCTCCTTAGACTACCAGACTGAGACCCTATATCATAGAATGACGGTACATCCTCGTCGTCTTAATTACTTTATTTCTAACAATATACAAATATACAAATTTGCCTCCCACATCAACAGCTTAACCCAAGCCACCTCCAGCTAGCGACGCAGCCGCAGCTGACGGGATTCCTAGCTGTCCTTTCGGCACCGTTCCTGCTGCTCCCTTAGGGATGTGGTCACCAGCTGCCATGAAGCCGTTCTCGTCCGCCCTGTACTCCACTTCGTACGTCTTCCCGTCATCGCCTACATACGAGTACCGCCCCTGGATTACTTGAGCTTCGTCGTCCGTCCCCGGGTTTTTGATTTCGCCTTCCGCGAACTCGTGGAAGTCGTCACTCGTGTCTACACTGGAAAAGCGGAAAGACTTCAATTAGAACAGAATAACTCCTGCCTCACAGACATTGTTAAATCTTATTATAGTTAGTGAAACGTTAAATATTAGTTTCCACGAAGCTACTAAGCCTGCATGACAGATTCGATCACTTCTTAGTTTCGCGCTACATCTTCAAAGAAAAACTTGATTTCAGATCGGCCAAGAGTCGTTAAGGCCCGCTCCTGGAAGCATTTCTATTATGAAGTTTTTAGTAATATGCCGCATTTTATCAATTGGGACAAAATTTATACCGTTTAACAACGTCAATTTAATGGTCGAATTCTTAACAACAGAATTAATATGTCTGTTCGATTAGTGTTGCCCTGTATATGAATTTCGAGTCACCAGAAACTTCACTCCTTGGATCACAGATAATATAAAGCTTCTCATGAAATTGCGCGGTAAAGCATTTCGTATGTTCAAAAAAAACCGTCCAGCTTCTCACTGGGACTATTATAAGGAACTCAGAAATTATACGAAAGCGATCATACAGCGTGAGCTGAAAGCGTATACTGAATTTTCTATGAAACAAAGAAATATAAAAATGACTGATGGCTATGTCAAATAGCAGTTGTCAAAAATAGTGCACATTCCATTTCTCAACACCTTGCTGATCCAGATGATTGTATCATCAATGCTTACTTTCCAAATCTACCCAAAGTTCCTAGAACTCAGTCTCAACTCGATTTGTTAAATAAATACCAAGAACCTCGAAGTAACAACTTATTTTCTTTTACTTTAGCAGGTGCTGCATTAATTTCAAAAAATATATGAAGTATTAAATCTGATGCAGCAGGACATGGTGGTAGTTTCAAGAAAATGCTTTTGAGGACAATCTGATGTATCTCATTACCTATATTATTAACGTTTGTTCATTAAACTGTTTTTCCAGAAGTGTGCAAGATTTCAAAAATCATCCCAATTTCCAATCAGTATATTACCAATGCTCTCCAAATTATTGGAAATGATCATAATGCAGCAAATCTCGGATTCTGTTATGACTAACAAAGTTGTACCACCAATCCAATCTGGATTTCGAGCCCAACACGACACGACAACTGCAGTGGCATGTATAGTTGATGACTTATACATCATTCTTCAAAGGTAATGTTATGTGTTCAATTCTCTTGGACTTCAGTAAAGCCTTTGATACCCTAGATCATCATATATTGTGCATGAAGCTGAAGTACTTTGGATTTGAAGATAATGCGGTAAATTTAATAAGGGACTACTTAACTAGTAGGTACTAATACGTATCAGTAAACTCTTCATCTTCTGACAAAAGAATGCTTACATTGGGTGTACCACAAGGGTCCAAATTAGGCCCTTCGCTATTTCCGTTATATGTTTCAGACTTTCATAACTACGGAAAAGCTTGTAAAATATGATACACAATTGTACTTCAGTTTTCAAATTGATCACATTTTGAACTCCTACTCTTTGATTAACGACGATATTGATATGTTATACAATATATGAATTGCACATAATCTAAGCTTTGATGCCAATAAATGAAAGGCAATGCTGTTTGGCTCTAAATAAAAACGTATGATTTCTGAGCGTTTGTTTAATCTGGATATTAATACCATACCATTACCAGTAGTTGGTGAGAGCAAAAATTTGGGAATGTGGTTTGATTCAGATCTTCGATTTAGTGTCCATGTCAATAAAATTTCTTCCTTAGCCTATAGTATGCTAAGACAACTTTATCCACAACGTAGTATTTTAAATAGTAGCTTGAAAATGAAGTTATGTGATGCCCTTATAATTTCTTGCCTATCTTTCTGTGACAGCATATATGGCCCGGCTCTTTTAAAAAATGATTGCTTAAAATTACAGCGAGTGCCTGCGATTCTCATTTACTATAAGATAGTATGATCATATAAACCGTACACCCAAACAACACAACATACTAAGATTAGATAGATTGAGAAAATTACAATTCCTATTACCAGTCCGCAAAGTCCTCGTGAGCAAAAAGCCGGAGTACCTCTTAGATAAAATTTCAAAATTCGAAAATATCAATTCATTACATACTAGAAATAGGCGAATGATCGTTATACCACCTCACGCAACATCAAGCTTTAAACGCAGCTTTTCATATCACGCAACCAAACTGTATAAAGTTTCTCTCCCAAATGATTTTCATCACTTTACTTTAAGAAAAAGCTAAAGAATTTGTATCTGTCTGAAGTGTGAAGGACCCTATATGCCGACTCTGTTTACGCCCAATACCTTTCTACTTGTCTCTCTTTCCCTTTTGTTCAACCAATTGTTGATACAAAACACTTTTTCTTTACCTTCCAAAATATATTATGATTTGCTGATAGGATGTTGATAGCTGCACCAGCAACAAAATACTTTTACTCCTACGTTTTATTGTGAAATTTATCGTTGTTAAATGGATGAGCTGAAACTCACTACATTTTTTTTATCATTAGTTCCCTTCTCTTAGACACTAGGTACATCTTACTGAATCGTTTTTATGAGTATACTTGATACTTATGTTTATTTTTGTTATTGGGTTTTCCCTTAAATTTATTCACGATATAGATACAATTTTTTTTGAGGTTGATTTGAAAAATACCCCTAGGGTAACACTTCACCTTTTAAATTTTGCACTCTTGCGGTTTTCAAGGTATTAGTCTTTTGTTTTATTTTGTGTATGCAAAGTTGAATAAAGGCACATTATTATTATAATTGTCAATAGATAAAAGACAAAATAGGGAGAAATGGTTCAAAGGTTAAGCTATGTTCGTTGATCATAAAGACTACAAGATCTCAAATTTGGACATTACTTCATTGATGGTTCATTGTAAATTGACACCCATTCTTACACTTGATTGCAGTTCACTCCTCCTTGCATTACTAGTTATCGATTCAAGCGAACTTTGACGGTTAGTACAACTCCTTAGACACGCATGATGTTTTCAAAGTTGAGTCATTTATTTTAACTGCTTCTAAGACTCGTTAAAAGTTCGTATACCAAAAGTTGCGTAATAAGAGAAAGAGTAAAAGATTGATTTTTTGATAAATTCTCGACCACTGCTGTGTAAAATCCTAGGGTTTTTTTTACTACTCTTATCGTTTATCTGAATTTGGCAAACTTTTTGTGTTATTGTATGGTTTTCAGTACGAGTCTTTAGTTTGATCAGTTGTATCAGTCTTTTAATAGTGCGTATATACTAAGTGACATATAAATCCGAACACCCAGTTTAAATGGTTTTATTTTAATAAAATTTTGTATAAGTACTTAATGAAGCGTAATAGGTAAATGATAAAAATTTCTAAATGATTGCACTGCTTTAAAGCTCTTTGACCTTTAATAATGTGTGAATGAACCCTGATGTGCTACGCATTCTCCAACGCGCCTAGGCATGCTTCTGATCAGGTGGTCTATGTCCTCCTGTGGTATCTCATTCCAGGCAACCACCAACTCCTCTCGAAGTGCTTCTAGAGTCTGAAGAGGACGTTGCAAATTGAGCAATCTCCTACCCATCATATCCCACACGTGCTCAATTGGGGATAAGTCGGGAGGTCTTGGTGGCCATGGTAACAATGTGACATCATTATGTTGAAAGAAGTCTATTGTGACTCTTGCAACATGTGGTGGGGCATTATCTTGTTGGAAAGTTGGATCTGCCAGGGTGTCAAGATATGGTAAAAGATGGGGTTCTAGAACTTCGTGGATATAACGCTGCGCGTGCATGTTACCTCTGATGAAGATTAATGGTGAGCCGGAACCATAAGCTATAGCACCCCAAACCATAACTCCAACAGTGTGATGAACATGTCTTTCAACAAAAAACTGTGGATTCCTCCTTTCACCACGTCGCCTTCTAACCCTGGCACGACCATCGTGCATGCCTAAACAAAATCGAGACTCGTCACTAAAGACAATACTGTTCCATTCCTGATCCCAGAGTGACCGTTGTCTGCACCACTCAAGGCGATTACGTCGGTGTTCTCGAGTTAAAGGGAGGACCCAGTGTGGCTGGTATGAAAACAAGCCAAAACTTCTCATTCGTCGGTAAACACTTCACATGCCAATAGGTCTTCCGTGTTCTGCAAACCATTCATTTGCAATGGACCTGGTAGTGGAGAAACGGTCCCTTAAGGCCAATAAAATCTTAGGCGGCGATCTTCACGGTCTGTTGTTCTACGGCGGCGTCCAGTGCCCCTTGCTCTTTGCGTACGGCCTTCTCGAAGCCATGCCTGACAACACCTAACCACAGCGTCTACACTTCTTTGCACTCTAACTGCAATTGCCGAAAAGAAAGACCAGCTTCCCGAAGTCCCACTATACGGCCCCTATCAAACTCACTAAGTTGACGAAATCGTACAGGTCTCCGTACTCTAGGCATCGTAACCGATCGTAAAGGGTGTCAAGAACCAAAATCCGCCAATGTTGATTCTTTACTGCGGCTGAAATATTCATTTTTAGAGCGTTAGTGAATTAGAAAAAAGCAGTATAAAAACCGGAATGTCCAACTGATAAGGCTGAACATTTTTTCATTTGTTATTTACAGTAAGATGAATACATTCACCAACTTTTATTAAAATAAAACTATTTAAACTGGGTGTTCGGATTTATATGTCTCTTAGTACACTTTCATTTGTCTTATCATTTTGTGCCAAAAAATGGCTCATATTTTCAAAAACAATGTAAATATCAAAACTTATACACATGGAAATCTACAATACAAATAACTGTTTTATGTTTATGTACAAATTGTGGAAACGGGATGTAAATGATAAAAAATTTGATAACAATTCGTAAAAATACATATTCACATAAACCATGAACACCACCTGTCTTGACTTGTTTGTTCTTGCGCGTACAATGGGAATAAATAATCGCAATCACATTTAGCTATTTGGCAAATCTTATATTTCTCAATTGGTATTCCGTTTAAAGCTCCTTTCTAATAACACTCTAACAAAATTGCAAAGGTAGCAAAACCTCCGATGAGC